GATATTTTGGAGTTGCACCCTTGAGAACATTAAACATTTTAAATCTTTATGGCAGGAGTTTTTAACAGCATTCTGATCTTACTACAAATTAACAACAACAGTTTCTTTTGTACTAGCCACAGATTTGCTTGACTAAAGATGGTCTAGTTGTCTAATAACAATTAGACATCTAATTTATGTATTATTTTAATTGATTATAGTAAGAGTTTTGGCCTCCCTCTTATATGGCTGGACTTAGAATTGGTCCTTGTTCTCTTACTGCCTTTTTTCTCTCTGGGAACTGTAAGTGGCTATGCATCTGCATTCTTCAGCATACTGACCTTAAAAAACCCCCAAATATATGGATTTGTTGACCAGTTTGCTTATTCAGAAGTCTAATTTGCTTCAGTTGAGGTTGGACCCAGATTAAACCTTCTTCCACAAGTAGGAAGGGAGCTTCAAGGTCTAAAAATTCTAAAAAAAAAAAATTATTCTAGCCAAACTGAGGCAAAGCATTAAAAAGGAGAGAAGCATTGTCTGGTGGTTAATGGTGAGTCTGGATAACAAATGTGGTGGATCCTTTCCTTCCTTTATTGCCAGCTTGGATGTAAACAGAGGTGTTCAACACTGTTTTTCAGAAGTGTTGAACACCTGCTGTGTCTGCTGAAGCTGGTGAGACCTGCAGCTGCTTGCCCCACATTTTATATGTGACTCCTTGTGCAGGAAGGCCACAGACATCTCCCCAGCGAGCGGGGGGCGCTGCAGCCAATGCCTGGGTAGCCGTTTGTAAAAGAGGAGGTGAAGGGACTTTAAAAGCTTTTGGGAGATTTTTTTTCACCTTACAAACTGCAAGATGAGACTGTGTCATCTAAGTGCCCTACAAGGATGTTAGTATGATCTACTTCTTGTGAAAAATAAGCCAAGATTGTGAAGGAGGCTGACTGTGATGAGATTAGTGTTATTTAAACATCTTTATCCATGTTAACTCAGTTTCAGCCTGCATTCTTCCCAGCCACTATAGTTTTTTACTCACTCTATGTTTCTCCTATCAAAATCACAGTACGGTGGAAATACATTCTAATATAGAAAAAAATTATATCAGTTGTAAATTACTGTACAAAAAAATGCATTTTTTTACTATACATAATCATGCCATATTATCTGGACTTCTTATTTTAAATGTAAAACCTGAAGCTCTAGAAATTTTCTATGCCATGGGTGGTTTGGGTTTTTTAAATGGAAAATTTTTTGCTCCTTTATGCATCCATTTTCCTGTGATGAATTAAAAAATATGAGCAATGAACATTTCATTTTAAAGGAGATGAAGATTGAGATGTTAGCCTTTGTACTGCAGAATATATTATTGAAATGAAAATCCAAACTACAGTCAAGAAGAAAATGCCTTATTGTTTTTTGTCAGTTCATATTTCACTGGTGTTAGCCTAGTATCCCACTTTCCTTCAATGCTTTGGCATTATTAATGGATAAAAAGGAAATTCCTAAAATTTTGAGGAAGCAGAATAAAATAAAGTTTGCAAAACTTTGTTTTTTTCCTTTTTCTGTGTATTTAATGTCTAGGAAGAGGCCACCTGAAATACTGGACTTTCTTAGACCTTCAATGAGAGCATCCAGTTGTCATAAGGTTTAGAAAAATAAACCAAATAAACCTGGTATCCAGCCTGTAGCCTTATCTTTCTCTGTATGATACTTTTTAAAGTGTTATAAATAGCACTGAGAACAGTTCTACCATTCCCATTGATTTTTGCGTATTATAATTTTCTTATATATCTTGCAAGATAATTTCCTAAGTGAGAATTCTCATTCTCGTGGGTGCAAACGTAACTGTCCAAAACTCGTTAATCCAAGAACAGCTACATGCCATGAGACTCTGCTGACTTATGCAGGCTGTGGATCACACCAGGATCATGGAAAGGTGCTGCACAGCTTCCCAATTCAGCCAAAACTGAGGCGCGCTTCATTTGAGCCTTCTTAGGGAACCTGGGGGCCGTGGCCAGAAATGGGTGGCTGGTTTTCCAAACTGAACCTCTGTCTGCATCTCCACCAGCAGAGCAAACAGGGCACAGCCCCTCCTTTGGCTCTGAAGATGTGTTGTGGCAACACTTGCTTTAGTCTGGGGAAGCCCTTTGCTCACCCCTGGACCACAGCCAGGCCGCCTTTGGGACACAAATAGCTGTGCCCAAGCTAAAGCAGTGTCAGGGAGCACAATGGTCATAAAAAGGATGCACAAGAACTGCAAGGCATCAGCCCCATAATATCTATTAATACAGAAAAGCCTGTAAACTTTTCTTGCATGTGTAACAGTTCACAGGGGCATAACCTTACAAAATCCAGTGATTTTTCATACAATTATTAGAATAATTGTCTACATACTCTCATATCTTGCCTTGGATGCTTTAAACATTTACTCATAAGACACAAGAAAATTTATAGCTATTGCTATAATTTGCATTCCTCTTCCCTGCCTAATCTCAATATATAAAAGAGAGATGAAATCAGAATGAGTTAATCTCTCATTCACAGCAAAAATCTGTACAAAATCTTGGATGTGCACAAAATCCTTTCCCCCTTTGGTGTCTGACCAACACTTTCTATGATTAACCCATAAATTAACTGGTGAGGTACATTATTTATAGTCATCAAACAAGTGACTGGTTGATGTTTTTGCTTCTAATTAATTGCTATTTGGTTCCAAAATGAAACTGCTGTACAGAACAGTCTCTATATGTGCTCACTATGTATTTTTAATATATTTATATATTCCATATGTATATATTATGCACATATAGACATGTACACATACATATATGCATACATATATTGGGAAGCTTCTTTTCCTTTTCACATCCTGACAAAAGTGCTTTTTTTTCCACTTCCCCCTCCTTCTATTTCTGTATTTGTAGTCTTTTACTTGCTGTGTTAAGAGGAAAAAAAAAAAGTTAAATAAGAGCAGGGGCCCTATCAAATGGAAAAGACACTATAAACACACAGGGAGGAAAAAGGAAAAAAAGGTGAAAGAGTTGGACAGCACAAGTTCCCTATTTATGCAAAATTAGATCCTATGTCTAACTTGTGACATTGTGACCATTGTCTGGGTACTCAATGAAACCATTCAGATCACTGAAGTCACAGAAAATACATGTCATCTTGTCTTAATTTAGTTTTCAGCAGTTTTAGCATCTCTGTGCTTCTTAGGACTGTTTAATGTCATTTTCCTTAAAGAAGGACCAGAGAAGAGCTCAGAATATGATGAGGTACCCATAAAACACAAAGCAATCCTGTCTGGAGGAGCTGTGCCCTGAGTTCTTGTGTGGGGTAGATGTCACAATAGTCAAACTTTCTCAGCCCTGGTTGAAATGCAAAAATCCTTCACTTTTTGGTACTTTCTTACTCATCTCAGGATAAACCCACTAAGTTTTAAACCATAAGATGCCTCCTAACATTTTGATACCTAACTCAGAAAAACTCACAAAAGCCTTCTCAGTGACTATGCTGAGTATTGGATTGGGTTTTTTCTGTGTGGTTGTAGTGAGGATTTCACAGAAAGAAGTGGCATGTTCCAGAAAACCTCCGCAGGCCGTGTTCAATTCTGAGGCATTCCCTGCCTTTGTTTGGAGTGGATTATGGAGCACACAGAGATCATTACACAGAAGGAAACTCTAAAATAAATCCTACTTTTATTTTTCCTCTAGGTTGACACTCTTTCTCCCCTTCTTTTCACTACATATTACATTTTGCTTCCATTATGTGCCAACACAAAGTCATGGCTGGCAGGCAAGCTGCTCAACATCTGCAGAGCTCAGGAGTTTTGGACAGTTTTCCTGGCTCTCCTAATGCTTTGCTGTGTGATTTGGGGAAAGCTCCTCCTTGCCTCCACTTATCCATTTCCCCTGAGTAATAGAGACCATTAATCATCACTGGAAGCTGTACTGAAGCCTAGAGATGAGAAGTGCTTATTATTAATGATATTAATTTATAGGTTATACATTTTCATTTGAATTGTGTAACATATAACTACTGTTGCATTGAACAGGGGCTGGAAAAGGGCTTTTCTGCCAGAAGAACAGATTCCTAGAGGTAGAAAATTTTACAGAAGTAGCTTCTACTCTTCTTTAACACATATATAACCTGTATATTACTTTGAATTAAATTTCCATAGAAAACAATTGTCTGGACCCAAAGTTTATACATTGTATATTTTGCTTCCTAGACCTTTCTTTTTAATTACATTTTCCTATTTTTTAATGGGACTTTGACCTTGTTTACAATTACAGATTTCCTTTTTGATTTCCAAGTCATGTATTAAAATAGCACATAAAGCTACAAACTGCAGGGGAATGTACTGCAGCTCTTTCCTCCTTTCTCATATTGAAAACCAAAGTGATTGGTTTCTCGTGAGTTGCAATCTCATGAGAGGAAAAATCCACAGAGAGCCATAACACACACAAATCCAAACAAACCATCTTTGACTTTCACAATTAACATGCAGATAAGAGATAGCCCAGGAGCAGTCAGCATGGGTCACATATCACTGATGCAGTGCCATCACCTTCAGTCACTCAGAAATCAGGGCTCAATGGCCTAAATTTAGGGTCTGTGTTAGCGACCAATAAATTCTAGATCTGTAAATTGTTTTGTAAAATGATTCATTTTCTTTTTCCTCTCTCAGCACTTTTCCCTCTAGCCCAACGCTCAATGTAGATGCGTAGCCTTAATCGGTTTAGTTGCGAGAAGATAATCTTTTTTTCTCCCTTTCTTGCTGTTGCCTGTTAGCTTAAAGGCTTTTTAGCTGAAGGTTGATAATTATCACTGAGAAGAAACTAGCACATCAGGAGTTCATTTTCTATCTTAGCACTTCTGGCGCTCCTTTGAACTCCTCGCACCAAGCCCGTGTTCCCACTCTGTCACTTTCCTCCCTCCATCATAAAAAGCTCTCGGCAGCCGGCGGCTCCAGCTTTTGCTGGTGGGCAGAGGGCACCGCTTCTCCCGAGCGCTCCTCCAGCATGGACAAGCTGCACGAGACATTGATCAACATGGAAGATGCTCTGGCTTCGGAACACCCCGCCTGCTTGTCAGCCTGGGACTGGAAAAGCTCCGCTGGGCCTTTCGAGCTGCACCCCATCTCGCCCCCGCACAGCCTGTCCCCGACGCCCTCCTTCGAATCCTACTCCTCGTCCCCGTGCCCGGCGGCGGCCGAGACCCCCTACAGCAGCGGCGGCGGCGGCAGCGGCCTGGCGGGGTACGGCCTGGTGGAGTTCCCCGCCGCCTACCTGCCCAGCCCCGGGCAGGCCCGGCTGCCCAAGGGCACCAAGGTGCGGATGTCGGCCCAGCGGCGCAGGAAGGCCAGCGAGCGGGAGAAGCTGCGCATGAGGACCTTGGCGGACGCGCTGCACACGCTGCGCAATTACCTGCCCCCCATCTACAGCCAGCGGGGCCAGCCCCTCACCAAGATCCAGACCCTGAAGTACACCATCAAGTACATCGGCGAACTCACCGAGCTCCTCAACAGCGTCAAGCGGGCGTAGAGCCCGCCGGGAGCGCCTGCCCCGGCACGCTCAGGGTCTTTACAAACAAAAAAACATCGAAATTTCTTCCTCGTCAGAGAACGGCGGGGCCCGGTGTGAGAGGAGGACGGTGCGAGGGACGGGGAAGCACCTCTGTACCTGGGACGCGAGGCTGGAAGGTGATGTAGGATTGCCTGCAAACTTGGGCTGCAGGTTGCTGAGACAGAAGTCTTGCTATTTGCCCTTTTTTGTTTGTTTTGGTTTTTTTAATTTTTTTTTTTGTTTTAATAAGCTTTTGAGAAACATTAAACCTAATCTGATACAGAAGTTAAAAAAAAAAGACAGCTGCTCTTCTTAGGATTTACGCATCACTGTTCTGACTGAGCCTGTTTTATAAAGACAATAGTAAATCCATAGGTGTTAAACTGAATTTTAAAATATGACAACAGCTTCATAAGAATACTATGGGTATTGATTTGTAGGCACTTTAATCTTAGGATGAGGAAAAACATGTATTTAGTTCATGTATTGTCTATTTATCCACCTGTCCACTGTACCTAAAAATCAAGTAACTAAGTAATAGTGAGAACATCTTTGCATGTAAACAAATAAATATGTCATAGTCTGTATGCTGTATTATAAATCTGATTGATAGATAAGTAAAATCTAGTGATGACTGCTAAATATTGAAAATGAAATATAAACAAACTGACATTTTGTATAGATAAACTGCTAAGTCCTCTCTTCTTTATTAATATATACAGAAGTATATAATTTTTCTGTATTTAATTTGTAAAAAACCCCTTATGCAATGCCAATAAATGATGGAAGACTTTTACATCAAATTTCTTAAACAAATAAATTAGATTGAGATATCTTACTCTCTGACATGAAATAAATTGATTCAGGTTTCACAAAGATGCGAAGTTCTGTTCTCAAGGTGTACTGAAAGCTAGGAGGGCTCTGGTAATCATATAATTTTATTAAAAGCCAATCAAAGTTCAGCTGTTTTCTACAGCCAGCCACAGTCCTGTAACACATGCACACAAAAGACTAAAAAAACCCCAAAGAAACAAAAGAACTAGGGATGTAGTTTTAATTTTAATGACTTTGACTTTCAACTGATGGGCACCACACCACTGAAAGTATGTGCTGCTCTGTAAATCTCATTGCCTGACTGAGTCATAAGACTTGGCCCATGAAACAAGCCAGAGAGGAGCAAACCCCAGCTGTGGGGAACTAATTAGTCATATAAGGCATATGAACTTTTTCTGCTGGGGGAGATGTAAGGCATAGAGCACACAGCAGCTGGAAGGTAACAGGTTTGTCTCTCCACAGCTCAGCATGTCTCTGTGGGACAGCTGGTTTAGATTGGTGGATAAATCCTGTAGCAGAGAACCACAAAGCTAAAACTTCATTCCCTTTTTTTTTCCCCCCCTCTGTTTGTTTAGAAGGAATTACTATTATCTTTCTACATTTTTTCTTCCAAGGATCAGCCTAAGCTAATTCAGTGCTCTTCACACATAATATGTGCATACTGGGGCAATCAGAATGAAATCCAGCACTACCACAAAAAAGCAACTACTCTCAAATTTATGCAGGTACTACTGTCACTCAGATGTAACCACATTTAAGCATATCCCATATGCTTCTGTTTGTAACTAACCCATGTTAGATTTGTTACAGACTTTACTGTTTCAGCAAGAGTAGAAGTAGAATAATTTTTTAAAGCCCTATAAAATTGTCAAATTAGAAATATGAGGTGGCAACACTGATGTCAGGAGAGCATTTCTCAGTATAAATCTGTGCAGCTTATCCAGATTTCAGCAGATTTGCCAATAGGAGAAGTCAATCTGAATATTTTGCAAAGGATTGAAACTGCATGATACCTTGCACAGAACTATAACTGAAAGCCTGATCACAGATTCTTTCTCAAAGACACATTTGTGGGAAGACTTCTAACCTTGTCCTTTAAGTGTTCTACACCTGAAACTACAGGCAGGGACTATGCTCTCCAGCTATGAAAGGCTGTAGGGTCATGGTTAAAACAGAGAAACAAGGAGTTAAAAGGGTCTGCTTTAATTTTTATTTTATTCATGACCTTGGCTGGTCATCCAGCATTGCTGCCTCAGTTTCCCCATCTGCAAACAAAGACTAATGGCCTCAGAAAGCTGCTGCTCACAAGCTGGGTGATGCTGTATGGAGAAAGGCCCAGGAGGAGGTACCCTGCACCTTGGAGAAGTGGCTCAGTCAGCATTCCCCACCACCCCAATGAAATGGGGAGGTAAATGCCCTGAAGCAGTTGAGCTGTAACTTTTTACATGCCCAAGGAGTTCCTCTCCTTGCAAGTGCAAGGTGGAACAGCAGCTCTAGGTAACCATGAGGCAAGGCTGTGAGTCCCAGAAGAACACAGCTCTGTGTTAGTGAGCCAGACCTTGGCTGTGTCTACTCCCACGGCTCCAGCAGGACAGGGCTGCATCTAAGCTGACCTTGGGGAAAGAGCTCCACTAAATCACTCCCTGTGCCACAGAGGGGCAAAGCACGCATCCACAATGCAGAGAGTTTATCAGAATAGGTTCTGCTCATGCACAATCTAATTTGATCCTCTCTTGGGGGATCTCTCCTTTCACCTGTGGGGATAGTGGGACCAACTTAGGTGTGGGAATAGGAGGAAGAAGTAGGTTTAGTACTGCCCATGGCTGAGGTTTCCCAGGATGTGTCAGATTTGTTCCTCCCCTTCAGAAAGAAATGAATTCTTCCTCTGCCTAACATGCAACATCTCTATAAGCCCCACCTTTTGTAACTCTTCCCCTTAACACACATTTCACTGATCCAGAGAAAATTATCTGAATTACTGTATTCACAGTACAAGATGGTACAAGGCCTGCTGCTATTAAATGTTAGATTTTGTTATTCTCAATAAAATTGAATACATTTCAGGTTCCTCTTCATTTTCCTTTAGGCCCAGGAGTTTAGGATATCCAAGTGATATGAAAGGGATCAAGAGATTCCTCACATATGGTTATGAGATCTAATTTTCAGGAGAGTAAGGTCCATAAGCTGTATTTAATTCTAACAGCAATAATCTGAAGAAAAGAGGCAAAAATTTGAACCTCAGTCTGAAGAAGTTGCACAAGTCACAGAAGTAGAGAACATCTCTCACATACAAGCACCTTCTCTCAACACCATGTGTTAAAAATAGACATGGAAATAAAGCTAAAATGGCTGAAAGACCATGGCTGAAAAATTAATTTATACTCTGTCTGATAGAGTTCAGCATGCTGAAAAGGTACAGGAGAGGCAACTGGGGTTAGTCCTACACAATTAAATTAACTCTTTTGGCCCCAAGAGCTCACTCTTTTGCAGGTTAGCATGTCATTAAAATTCCTTAGTAACTTGGAGAGCAGAATGTGGATCCTAAAGAAGAAACCATTCACACTAAAATACAGTTTTCTACTGTATCAAATCTTCTCAGGTACATGAAATCATACTTCTTAAGTGATACTAGCCATAAAAATGAAAGGACAGCAGGACAGTCCTTAAGTGCTAAAGAGAAATTGGATAATGTCCATTATAAGATCTTCTACAGAAATTAATTAATTGAAGTGGATTTTAGAACCTCAGGAGAAGCCTTCAGATACAGGCAACCTTGCAATTTGGTTGAACTACCAGTCCATTACTCTCAGTTTACTGAGGAGGTGATTACTATCAGTTGCTGAACATAAATACATTTTTCAGCTTTTTAAACAAGTATTTCCACAGTTTAAAATACACACTTCTCACTGAGCCAGAGATCAGCCCAGAAGCAGGCTGAGGGCAAGAGAAATGAGCAAGTGGCACCAATCAGGTGAGAAGACTGGACCCCAGCAGCTGTGTCCTGAGCTGTTCTTCATGCTGAAAGTTGTGCCCTTGCCTCCTTCTCTGGCTGAATTGCTGAGGGGGGACCAGGTATAACCATACAGGGCTAAAAGTTTCAGAAGCCAGGGAGAAGAGGGATTGAAGCCCCACATCCATCCTAAACCTTTTATTAGGGAAGAAAAAGGGCAGAACAGGCAGTTACATATAATGGATTTTATACCAGTTAAGTAAGTCCTTTGGTTGAGTTAACCAGTTAACTCCATGAGCCAGTTGGTGCTGCTGGAAGGAGCAGTTGCTGGTACCAAGGATATGACAATAGACTCTGGGTTCATTTCCTACCTCAGGGACCAGAGGCTGTTCTGGGGCAGCTGGAAGGAGAAGATATGCTCTATTTAGCAGGAGGCACAGCAGTGCAAAGGAGGAGGCCTTGGAGGCAGGATTAGCCCAGGATTCAGGAGGCTTGCACAGCCTCACTCAGCAGGACAGGCTTTCCACCTGAACCCAGCAGCTTCTCTGCCCACCCTGTACAAAGGATTGTACAGCAGTGTTGGCTGCCAGCAGCAGCAATACCTAGACATAGACCCTGAGGGGGGGCAAGGAAGTCAAATCACCTCTTGAGGAGAAGAATAAGTACCTTGGAGAGAATATTCCCCAGTTGTTAAGGGCTCACAGTGGAAGAAGCTCCCCAGGCAAGCCCCAGCTCTGTGATCCACAGAACTCACCTCCCACCCCCCAAAGCAGAGGCGAGCCTGGAGCCGCCCGCACACACAACAGGGCTTTGAAATTCTATGCTGAGGAGCACCATGTAGGTGCCAAGAGGTTTTATGGTGACACATTTGGGCTGCACATAGGTGTGCTTGGGACAAAGAAAACCTCCTGCAAATGGGCTTCAGCCAGTGCCTTGGGAGAGCTGCTTCTCTGGGAACTGCCAGATCCTCTCCAACTGGGGAAGCCAGCAGCTATGCTTCCAGCTCTGCCTAGCAGTAGCTAAAAAATACTCCACAGAAACATAAATACACCTCCAGCTTCTAAGGGCCCAGTGACTGAGTTTTGCTCCCCAATTTATCTGCCATGCAACCACAAATCCTCTTCTTGCCTTTAACAGGCGGGAAACTGGAAAGAGAATTCACAGATCCCAATAAATCTGTCTCTTTTTAATGAGC